TAATATTTGATCTAAATATATTAATGTATATTAAATGAAATACTTTACTTCATTTGGTTGGCCTTTTGTTACCCATAGATTACCGGTGAGCAGTTGTCGGAGATGTACAAAGATTTTATGGCTAATTACCCAGGTAAGGATGAAATTTGTTGACTTGTTCATTCCAAGAGGTCGAAAGTGCACCACATGAAAGTATTGCATAATAATTATTATAGAGCTCTTCCACAAGAATAGTTACACACCAGGGTTTCATCCGACAACTTAAAAGTTGGAACCACTTTGCACAGCACATCAAAAGTGTTGCATGAATGTACTGCTCAATAGCTTTCATTTGAATGGTCGCACACAAGAGTTTTGTCCACAGACTTAAAAGTTGGAACCACTTTGCACAGAATAATAAACAATTCCCACGTGAAAGTACTGCTCAATACCTTTCATTTGAATGATCACACACTAGGGTTACATCCACAGATGTAAATGTTAGAGGTCACCTTGTACAGCATAATACACATTACAATGGGAAAGTACTTCTTTATAGGTTTCATTTCAAATGAATGTGTTGCAAACTAGGTTTTCATATGCAGACAAAGTTCTAGGTGCACAGAATAGGTAGAAAGTCCAGGCGATTTGACAATGAGGTTCTCTTTGTTATTTCTATAGAGCAACAACAACATCTTTATTTTCTCATTATAAATATGAATATAGGAAATGTGGTGAGAAATGGTAGGATGGCTTTAGGGTTTAAAGCTTGATGTGATTTGTCTTTAGTGGTGTCCATTGAAGATGCCTTTGATCAAGATCACTGGGATGCATGGACTCAGCTGACACAATCAGTTGGTATCCAGATTGTTGGGTAAGGCACACGCAGGTTAATAGTAAATTCAGACAAATGTTCAAAATGTTCAAATGTTGTTGTTTACAGTGGTCAATGCACTTAGCTACACCTGCAATCCTGGCCAAAACTAGTTGTGACACTTGGGCTGTATCACGTATTCCCCATCCCCCTTATCAATGTTGAAAAATATCGTGTTTTTTCCAACAAAAAGGGAAAAAATCGCCTGATTATCAACATTGTAAGTGGGGGAAGGAGAGAATATTTTTCGTGTCCCAACTTTTTTGTCTGGGATTGTAGCTAGTTCACAGGCATACCACTTAAACTGAAGGAAAGAAATACATCAACTAAACATAATAGGCTTAAAAATCCCAACTGGCGGGAGGCAGACCAGTTAGCTATTTACAAGCATGACTGAGGAGTTGAACTAGGGTCTTCTGAGAAACAACTCCAGCTAAGAGGTCAGAGCAGGCTAGGGTTGTTCGAAAGGTGGACGCTATCCACTGGATAAATCACTAGCAATTTATCTGGTGGATAGCATTATCCAGCCTTCGAACAACTGGGGCCAGGGCTTGAACCCTAACCACTCAGCCATGCTGCCTCCTAGCGAGTCCCATCAAACTGGTTGTCTCCCTTTACGCTTGCCAATGCCTTGGCCAACTCTTACATTTCTCTACATTTCTCTTGAGCTCTCCAAACTCTTGCAAGTGTATATAGCTCAATAGATGCTTGCATCAAGCAATTCTTAAGAAGCCATTTGAGTGTAATTCTTTGTTTTCTTGAACTTGGTAGGAAAAATATGAAAATTATTTCACAACAAGGATTCTTTGTGTTCTTTTTTTCCAAAACGTTTCTTTGCTAAGTTGTTCTGTTTTTGTTTTATCAGGGATGACTTAACTGTGACAAACCCAAAACGGTGAGTGCAGTGAGTTTTTTGATGGAGTATTAATAAACAGGTTATTGGTATTGTAAGACATTCAGTGAGAGCAGTACAGCCTGTAATGCATGATTTTCAGTCCTTGCCTATTGATCAACAACATCTTCAAAAGGGGCTGAACTAAATATTCAGAACTGCTTTGGTCTTGCTGAACTATGCACTCTGATTTGTTCAAAAATTTATCCTACCATCTTAACCAATCAGATACAAGCATAGAGGGGGTAAGTTTCTAAAGAAACTGTGGTGCTGCGTCGGTGGGGAGTATAACAAGATAATTTGGTT